TGTGTGTGTGTCTGTGTCTGTGTGTGTGTCTGTGTGTGTCTGTGTGTGTCTGTGTGTGTCTGTGTTCATGTGTGTGTGTGTGTGATGTGTCTGTGATGTGTGTCTGTCTCTATATCTGCGTGTCGGTGTGTGTGTGTGTATTTTCTGTCCATCTGTCTGTCTGTCTCTCTGTCTGTGCCTGTGCCTGCGTGTCTGTGCATTCCTGTGCACTCGCGAGAACGTGCATGCTGTGTGTGCTTGTGATGGACGTCAAAGAGCACCGCTGACGTGCCATGTCACAACGACACCACCACTGCATGCAGGGCCGCACGGATTCCCGCGTGCGGCGTATGGCTTTGGAAAGACACTGGGACTCACTGTGAGGTGTGTTGACTCACACTCATTTCATGTGCGCAGTGGTCTCTGCTGGCTCACTTTGTTGATCACGCACTGGCGCTCACTTTGCCTCACTGTCTTCCTCCCACCATGCACTTGACTCAGATTGCTGAGGAGAGCAAATGAGGCGATGAGCTCATTCTCCAAGCGACATCAGATTGCGGAGTTGCACGAACAGCTGCAGTCTGGACTGAACGACATCAACGCGATCCGAAGTGAATGGCACCAACTCACCAACAGGCAGATGATCCAATCGTCGCTCCTCGGGTGGGTTTGTGATGGGGCTGTGTTTGTCTGTGGTGAAAGCTGAAAGACACCGCTCTTCAATACATCTCTGCTCAACCACACGTGCACGCACTCTCACTCACTCACTCATTCACTCACTCATTCCTTCTCTCCCTCACACACACACTCACACACACTCACACACTCACTCACACACACACTCACTCACACACTCACTTACACTCTCCCTCACTCACTCACTCACTCACACACTCACACACACACACGTGCAACAGACATCAAGCAACGTCAGCCACTGCCCAAACCACGCTGCAATCCAGCGCTTCATCCACGCCAACGCCCACCCCTCCTTTGTCACCAACGCCACACACGACTGCTGCTACCGCTGCTGCTGCTGCTGGCACTCAGGCCCCAGCCTCCCCGCAGCCGTCAGCGTCGCAGCCACCATCCACGCCACCTGCACGCAGCAGTCAGGACGGACATGCGGCCATGCTTGAGATGAGCGCGAAGACGGTGAAAAGCCAGCAGCAAGGCGTAGCGGGTAGTGACTATCTAAACGTGGCGCTGGCAGCACAACAGCTCGCCAGACAGGAACGCATCATCTTGCAGCAGCAGCAGCCAGGAAACGGGGCTGGTGACTGACACATCACACCTGTTGCGCTTCATAATTAAGACCCTCGCTCTGCGTTTGTGTGTGTGTGTGTGTGTATGTCTGTGTCTGTGTCTGTGTCTGTGTCTGTGTGTCTGTGTGTCTGTGTGTCTGTGTGCATGCGTGCGTGACAGTGTTTGTTTGTGCTGGTTATCCAGTGTGCTCTCGCTTGTGTGCACGCGAGCTCCTTATTGCCTCCCCCTCCTTGTATAAACGACTCTCTAGCACGACCCATCAACGCGAGTGCTGCTGTTCGCTCGATTGTAATTGAAGTTGCTGATACGATTTCCATAGCACACGCGACAAGACAGACACACGCTCGCATACACATCCGAAGCACACATCCCAACACACTCACTATCTGCTGCTGGCAAAGAAAACTCGATGGTGAGAATCATACTCACACTCCCACACGCACGCACGCACGCACGCACGCACGCACGCACACACACACACACACACACACACACACACACACACACACACACACACACACACACACACACACACACACACACACACACACACACACACACACACCCTCCGCGACATGAATTTGTGCCCAGGCGCACGCCTGAAGAGCCGCTATGCAACAGGCTTGCTGTGCATCTCACCACCACCATTCCCACCACCACCATTCCCACCACCATGGCTGTTGCAGCGGTTGGTGGTGTTGTCATGTTCCACCATATCCCCGTCCAACTTTGCTCTCTTTGGCTGCAGCTCTTCACCACCCATCGCCTCCTCTCCACTTGCCATCACGCCATCAACCACATCTCGTACTGGTGCACTCATCTCTGCTGCATGTGCGGCTGGCTCTGCGCTTGTTGGCTCTGCCTTCACCACACATGTGGCCACACCTGCCGTCCCTGCTGTCGCCTCGCTCTGTGGCGTCGGCGTCGGCGTCGGCGTCGGCGTCGGCGTCATCATCGTGGTTACGTGTTGCTGTTCTTCAATAGGTGGTGCACTTTCGCACCTCTTGTCAGTCGCGGCTCCTCCCGTCGCTGCCACCGTTGTTGTTGTTGCTGCTGTTGTTGCTACTGCTTGTGGTGCTGGCGTCTGCTGTGCCTGTGTTGAACTTGCAGTCCCATTCACCCGTTCTTGCCCCTGCTCCCGAAGTTGTGGTTGTTGCTGTTGTGGTCGTGGTTGCTGCTGCCGCTGCTCTTCCTTCTCCTCTTCTTGCTGCTGCTGCTGTTGCGCGTGGTCGTCGCGTTCAAACAGGACAATCTTTCCGTTCTTCTCCACGTTGATTGCGCAAGGGGAAATGCGGCGGCCGTCTGCAAGCTCAATCTCAAACCCGTCCCACTGAAACACATTCGCGCACACGTGCGCCGTGTACGGTGTCAGGTTCTCGCGCACCCCCGCCAGCCACGGCGACGCGCGCGGGCCATAGCGCAACATCTCCTCTCCAAAGATCTGCAGAAACTGCTGCTGCGTCACGTTGAAGTGCGTGTGGAGTCGCGTCACGGTGCGGCCAAGGGCATCCCCGGGTGTGCCGTCTGGCATGGTGATGGCCTGCTGGTGTGTGCTCATTGCCAACAGCTGCATTGCGGCCACCTCATTCGATTCAAGATCGCCCGACCCACCACCACCACCACCACCTCCGCCACCGCCGCCACCACTGGTGTCGCCACCACCAACGCTGCCGACGCCGCTGCCGCTGCTGCCGCTGGTGCTGCTGCCGCCATGAGCACCACGCTGGTGACGACGAGTGCTGCTGTTGCTGTTGCTGTTGCTGTTGCGACCACTTCCACCAACGCCTCCATCTGCAATGAGTGCATTGTCGCCGCCGCCACCGCCGGCCTGCTGTGCACCCGCCATTGGTACCACGCCGCTTCCTCCTATTGTTGCAGCTGTTGCTGTTGTTGTTGGTGTTACTGTTGTGGTGGTGGTGGTGTTGGCACCGTTGCCAATCGCGGCGGCTGTCACTGGTGTGGCCATCATCCCATGTGGAAGCGTGGTGGTGCCGCTCGCAGTGCCAAGCATGGCGTGCAGCTGCATCCCTCGAACGCCACCAACACCCCCAATGCCACCATCGCCGCCATCACCGCCATCACCGCCTTGCTGCCTCGACATGGGCAGCGACCGTGCAACCACCATCCTGTTTGCCACCATGCCTTCCACCTCCCGCCGTGCCCCCTGCGCTGGACTGCGACGCAACCGCGCTGGCTGCCGTGGACTGCGTGGCGGGTATTCCTTGTACGGGCATGTGTGGCCCTTAAGCATCTGCCCACACCGTCCGCACCGGTACGGCCCGCGCTTGGCGCCGCGGCCACCAGACGTTGGCGTGCCAGATTCGGAGCGCGAGCGGCTGCTGCGGGAGCGACGGGCGGGTGTTGATGGTGCACGCGCTGATGGCGATGCCGGAAGTGGCCGCGGCTGACGTGGACGCTGCTGCTGTTGCATTTGTGCTTGTTGTTGTTGTTGTTGTTGTTGTTGTTGTTGTTGTTGTTGTTGTTGTTGTTGTTGTTGTTGTTGTTGTTGTTGTTGTTGTTGTTGTTGTTGTTGTTGTTGTTGTTGTTGTTGTTGTTGTTGTTGTTGTTGTTTCAGTTGTTGTTGGTGTTGTTGTTGTTGTTTCAGTTGTTGTTGGTGTTGTTGTTGTTTCAGTTGTTGTTGTTGTTTCAGTTGTTGTTTCAGTTGTTGTTGTTGTTGTGTCTGCACAACCATGGGTGTTGACTGGATATTGCGTGCTGTGTGGGCGGAAACGGGTACTGCTGCATGTGCAGTCGTTGCTGCTGGCGCTACCGCTGCCATGCTCGTCGCCAGCACCTGCTGTGGTGCGTGCACGCCTACTGCTGTCACTGCTGTTGCTGTGTTTGCTTGTATTGCATCGGCACTCCTGAATTCGGAAGCGTGGGTCGGCGCTGGCGCAACGGTGACTGGTGTTGCTGTTAGCGTCGCCGCTGCCGTGGCGTTTGTCGTCGTTGCTGTGCTTGCCTGAGGTTTTGTTTGGCTCGTCGCAACGCGTGGGCTAGTGGTGAAAGGTGTGGGAGGTGTGGGTTGTGCGGGGTGCATCTTGGCACTGTTGTTGTGGTTGCTGTTAACTGTGTTCACAAGCGGTCGATTGCTCTGCAATAGCGGCATCCCCTGCATGGTGTGTTGTTGTTGTTGCTGTTGCTGTTGCTGTTGCTGTTGCTGCTGCTGTTGCTGTTGCTGTTGTTGTTGCTGTTGTTGCTGTTGCTGTTGTTGCTGTTGTTGCTGCTGCTGCTGTGGCGGCGGGCCGTGTGCAACCATGGTGTAGCCGCTTGTTGGCGTCGCATTGCTGCTCCATTCCTGCAGCGGCGCCGATGGTGATGACGACACGGTCGCCGTTGCCGGTGTCATGACCGATGGGCACCTGACAACAGCCCCAGGTGCCATGGCCTGTGGTACCATGCCGCCCGCTGCGTGGGTGCCAGCAGTTGGCGTGGTGGGTGTGCTGGTGGCCGAGGGTGTACCTGTGGAGGTGCGGCTCACGCTCAAAGGGGACGTGGCCTCGGCCTCACCTTTCATTGGCGTTGCGTACGACGCCGCACAAGGCCCAATCGCCACGGCCTGCTGTGGAGCTGTCTCGGCAGTGCCGTGGCCGCTGCCGCTGTTGTGGGCTGGGCGTGTCTCTGTGGTTTGGTGGCCCGCCTTGCTTCTGTCGACGTTGTCGTTGTTCTCGTGGGTGTTTGTTGTTGCTGGTGCGGAGGCGGACGTTGGGGACGATGTCGCGGATGAAAGGGATGAGGATGTTGAAAGAAGATGTGTTGACTTGCCGCGTTCTGTCGTATCGAGAGCAGACCAGGGTGCGATGACGTGAGCCGGGGTACATGAGCCAACGTGCGAGTCAGAAGACTTGAAATGTGACGGGCGCGTGAAACTATCACTCCACAACCGACAGATGGACAAGGGTAGCGTCGCTATGTGTCGACTACACAAAACCCGCGGCAAGGCATGAAAGAGTGTGCAAAAGGTGCAGTGCAGTTGGTTCAAGCCAGCAGCCACAAGTGCTGGCTTGAGCACGCAAGGCGCCCAGTCGCCTTCACCACACGTGCCATGGCGAGCTCAAGCAGGAAACCTCACCTTCAAACATTATCCCTGCGCTGAGCAGCAATGAGAAAGCAAAGGCAGGAGGGTACGAATGCTGTTCGTGAAGGATAAACTCTGTCGATACACGTGAGACAACCAAGGCATGCAGATATATGAGTAAGGGTGAATACATTCGTGTGTGTGTGTGTGTGTGTGTGTGTGTGTGTGTGTGTGTGTGTGTGTGTGTGTGTGTGTGTGTGTGTGTGTGTGTGTGTGTGTGTGTGTGTGTGTGTGTGTGTGTGTGTGTGTGTGTGTGTGTGTGTGTTGAACCACAAGCGCATCAGTTGCAACACAAGTCTCCGAAAAAGACAATGCAACTCCCATTCACTAACCAAGACTGACTGCTGAGGCGAATGAGTGGATCAAAGGGTGTGCCTGCGTTTGCGGTGTACGTTGTGTCCGGCCGTCTCTCTGCTGTTCACAACCGCTTCTCTTCAAAGTGCTGCTTGCTTGCTTGTGCTTGCCTTTACCCTTGCTCGCTTTGCTCGCTTGCTTGCCCCTTCGGCTTTGGACTGCTGCACGACTGTGTCGAAGGCAAACAAGAGGTGGTCGTGGTCGTGGTGGTCGTGGTCAGGCGATGTGCACAAAACACACACACACACACAGACGCAGCGTGAATTTCGCCTTATTTTGCTGCTTGTTGACTGCTGGCGGGGTTTTTTGCGATTGGCAATGTCGAGGATTTGTGGGCGTTTTACGTCAATTATCAGTGGCACCCTTTCGTTTGTATTGTTCGCGGCACACTTTTCGCGCCGCCAAATTTGAAGATTTTCGCGCTCAAACCTGTTTTGCAGCGGGCGACACCTCTCGTTGGGGCGACAGGCAGAGTTGTATGAACTGACAAGAAGAAGACGACAACGACCACGGCGAAGCGGTGTGTGGTGATGATGGTCGCGGTCGTCGTGCTGGCAGTGGTGATGTTGGCAGTGGTGGTGGCGCAACGTGGAGGTGTAGTTGCGACGGCTGCAAGTACGACTGCCACGGAGGCTGCAACCGTAGCAAACGAGAAAGAGAATCGTGCGCACAGGAATGCATACCATGGGCTGACCAAGGAAGAAGAGAAGTTGTTGAGGTTGCATGGACTGCGACGCTCCTCGTCCACAGGCATCCCCATTGACACCAATGGCTACCTTCTCTATTGCCCTTGCATGGGCCGCTTCGGCAACCAGGTGTGCTCTTGTCACAAAGGGGGTGGGTGAGTTGAGTTGCTGTGTGTCTGTGTGCGTGTGCTTGTTAGCGATTGTGTTTCTGGTTCTGTGTCTGGGTCTGTGTCTGTGTCTGTGTGCGTGTGTTTGTTTGCGATTGTGTTTCTGGTTCTATGTGTGGCTCTGTGTCTGTGTCTGTGTGCGTGTGTTTGTTTGCGAGTGTGCTTCTCGTTCTGTGTCTCTGTGTCTGGTGCTGTGTCTGTGGATGTGCGTGTTCCTGTGCGTGCGCCAACCCTGCCATTCACTGACATTGCATACCTTGGTTCCTTGTTGTGCTCCCTGACCATGACCTGCCAACCGCGCTTCATCACAGGCCGCGCACCTCATTGGCACGTTGTCAAAAGCAAAAGAGGTGAACAGGACACTCGTCGTGCCGCCATTTATCACTTACTCGCAGCGGCCCATTGGCTTGATCCCCTACACCAGCTACTTTGACCTGGCGTGAGTACACTTGATTCAAACACTCACAATGGTTGGTCCCGTCTGCGCTACTCGCCATTCCGTCGCCATTGGTCATGCTGTGCCCCTCTCCTCCTCCTTCACCAACATTACCCTCTTCACCAAACACAAACACCACCACCACCACCACCACCCTGCTCATCATCCCACGCTGCGCTGCCCCCTTGCGTTGACTGCGCCTCTGCCCATCACAGCACAACCGCCACCGCCACCTCTTCCTTCTCCTCCTCCTCCTCCTCCTCCTTCTTGTTTCCCCTCTTCTGTGCTGCCTCCCACAACACAAACTCATCACACCAACGCTCCTTCGCTGTCCACAGGAAACTGCAAGAGTTCCACCGCGTGCTGCCCATGGAGACGTTCATGCAACTGCTGGCGCCGGAGGTGTGGCCGCCGGCACGCCGCCACATGTACTGCCCCCAGTTTCCATCCGCACACGGCTCTGATGCCCCCTCTGCAGTGGACTGCCGCACCAAGCAGGGTAACCCATTTGGGCCCTTCTGGGATGCGTTTGGTGTCGACTTCATCTCCGATCGAGCAGTTCCCCCGCACAGCGCAGACTGGGCAACAGCCCTGCCACCAAAGTCGCACCTGGTTGTGTCGCTGCGGGGTGCCCCTGCCCCCTTTCCCGAACGCCCCGAGCACAGATACATTGCGCAGTACATTGAGTGGAATGAAGAGGTGCATGCGAGCGTGGATGCGTGGATGATGCAGCACCTGCAGCGGCCCGTTGTTGCGGCCCATCTGCGTGCTGGCGGTGACTGGCGTAACGCTTGCGCACGCGCGGCGGACACTATGCAAGAGTTTATGGCCAGCCCGCAATGCCCACACACCGGACCCATCACACAGGTCAATGAGTGCTCTGTGTGTCTGTGTGTGCGTGTCTGTGTGTCTGTGTCTGTGTCTGTGTGTCTTTGTATCTGTCTGTGTGTGTCTGTGTGTGTGTCTGTGTCTGTGTGTGTGCGTCAGTTTGTGTGTATGTTATTCTGTCTGTGTCCGTGTCTTTATGTCCATACTCTGTCCCTCTGTTTCTGCGTCCCTCTGTTTCTGTGTCCCTCTGCCTGTCTGACTAACTGCCAGTGCGTGTGTCCGAGCGACGGGCATTCCTGTGCCTCTTGTCTCTGCCTCTACCTCTAACATATGATGTCGTTTTCCCTCATCATGGCTTGGCATGTTTGCAGGCCATGTGCCTGCCGACTGCGGAAGAGGCTGCGGCCAAGATTGCCGAAGAGGTGGTGAGGCAGGATGCGCGCTCTGTCTTCATTGCCACAGACAACTCTCATTACACCAAGCGCGTCGCTGCTATTGTCGAACACCTTGTGTAAGACAAACGGCAGCCCATGGCTGACGCTGAGAGGGGGATGTGTCTCTGTGTGTCTGTGTGTGTGTGTGTGTGTGTATGCATGTGTGTGTGCGTCAGTGTGTGTGTGTGTATGCATGTGTGTGTGTGTTTCTTGTTTGCATGTGGTGCCGGTCATCTTACTGTGCTTCCAACGCACGTGTGCTCCCCCACTCTCTGACATTGACTTGCTCCCACCCACCCGCACAAATGTGTTCCCCCATGCAGCGATGCGCGTGTGGTGACGGCAGCCAAAGGATTCATGCACGACCTTGCTGTCCTGACAAAGTCGGACTTCTTCATCGGCAACTGCGTGAGCTCGTTTACCTCCTTTGTCACCCGGTACCGCCAAACCCGTGACCACCTCCCCATGACCTTCTTTGGACTCGACCAACAACAACAACAACAACAACAACAACAACAACAACAACAACAACAAGCCCACGACCCAACGGAATTTTGACTTTGCCGTGGTGTCCTCTCGCCAAAGTCATTTTTGACATGGGCTTTGGCTTGAAAATTTGTGCATATTTTCAGTAAATCGTACGTAAGCGTTCCGATGCACACTCCTTCCTGCGTGCCACAAACGCCAACGCCACCACGAACAGACAGCCCACAGCAGAATGCGCTCAACAACAACACTGACACACAACAGGCAGCTGCGGCACATGCCTTCCTCCGTGTCGCGCATGCCAACTGTGGAAATGGAACAACCAACGCATGCCTTAGCTTCACAACAAGAAAACTTATGCCTGGCGGGATGTGCCGCCGTCTTGAGCGAGCCCTAAGCGAGCCTCGCAAACCATTTTCCTTTGCCTTTTCACCTCCCTGATCACCAGCAACCACCAACAACCACACTCGCCTCGAGTGCAAGCACGACGACTCTCTCGCTTCATCCAGATCCATCCAGCACTTGAACTAACACCAAAGGCAGTCCAGCTGGCTTCAAGGAGAACGCCCGGCACACCCTAGATCACATCACACGCCCACAACAGACCTCGCTTGTGGCCGAGAGATGGCTGGTGCGGCCACCGCAGCCACAGCAGTGCTGCTGGCACTGCTACTGGCCTCCCCAAACGCACACGCAGGCGATTGGGAATGCCCGACTTACTCCGCCGTTGACAACTTCGAAGTCTCTTCCTACTCCAACAACGACGGCAACTTCAACTGGAACGGCCCTTGGGTCGAAGAGGACCCAAACGGCGGCGGCGTGACCTCCGGCAGGGTTCGCATCGAGAACGGCGATCTCCGCCTCGACGACATCGGCAGCACCCGCCAGCGCATCGCTGCCACGCGCTCTGTTGATCTCAGCAGCGCCGACCACAGCGCCACGCTCCAGCTGGAGTACCACACCGTCGGCGACGTCGAACGCACAGACGAGTTTGTCATTGAAGTGTCAAAGGACGGCAATAGCTTTGTGGCCCTGGACACCATCAGCGCTACCTCCTGCCGCGACAACAAGCAATCCCGCATCTACACCATCTCCAAGTACGCGTCCCGCCACACCACCATCCGCATCCGCATCAAGGACGGCTTCCGTGGCCGCGACGAAGGCATCATCATCGACTGGATTGCCGTCACCTTCTCCTCGTGCAGCCCCTATTCATCCACAACCACAACACGGGCAGCCACAACCACCACCACCAAGGCACGCACCACGACCACGACACGGGCACCCACCACCACCACGACACGCGCTCCCACCACGACCACGACACGCGCTCCCACCACGACCACGACAGAGCGGGCCACGACAACGGCAGGCGGACCATGCGATCCTAACCCGTGCCAGAACGGCGGCACCTGTGAGGTGTACTGGTGGAAGTACTACAAGTGCTACTGCCCAGACGGCTTCCGTGGCTCAAACTGCGAGGAGCAGGTGACAACCACATAACAC